GGCTGGATACAGATGTTATATCAACAGGGAAGTGAGACTGCTATCTTGCGTTATTCAATTCTGGTGGTATTGCTTATGGGCTCTCATTAGCATCTAAAACAAATTTTCGTTTTCCGTTTGTCACATCTCATTCAGTAAGATGTCTCATCTACCCCATTTCACAAAAACATGAAAAAGTTCAAGTTCAACAAAGGTATTTGCTTATTGCTAGACGTATCGTCCCCATTCAGGTGATTTCATCTAAATGTACATCCAATCGAGTAATTTGAATACTTTATTTGCATAAATCTTGACCAATTTTCATCAGTAGCAGCAGCACGCTGCATTTGTATGTGCAGCTGTACGCATTCGATTCGTATGAATGCGGTTAACGTTACACTGTAATCAGTTGATCAGACAGACGCTAACGAAAAGCAATCGCACTTGCAGGATCGCTTCATTAATTTACCCTCCTTTTGGTGTGATTGCTGTGGAACAACGGTTTGAATAGCTAGTGATTGCTCATTTCAGAAACTGTTGTTAAATATCGTTGAGTTAGCTAGTCATAACAATGCTATTCATCGACTGCTCGGTTTGCAATCCCCAACTTCGCTTCTTATAAATGAGATTAAGTAAAGACGCATTGCGAATACCTTAAGAGACTGATAGTATTTGTCGCCTTATGATTGTTTTCGCGACGTATACTTCTCTTTCAGTAATATTGTTGACATATTTTGCTATTCAATATGCTTATTGGTTCATAACGGCTCAATGAATACTTCTCCCACGAGTAATCCGAAAGAAACGCGCAGCATTGATCAATTCATTGCCGACGTGGATATGGCTCACAACACCTATAGCCGTCGTTCATTGATGTATCTTCACAATCGCAGTTTCACAAATATTTAATTGCGTATTTTGTTGTGTTATGTGATCGTAAACAATGGTGCCGCCGCATCAACGAAATGCGTTAAATGACACACCAATTTTTTGTTTCTAATAAATTCTTACAAGAGGATGTTGCAAACTCTTAATGACAATATAAGCTGAGTATTNATGAATTGCTTGATAGAAATACTACAGAAGCAGCTCAGTTTAGTAAGTGATTGTGAATAATGCCATCAGTTGCCTTGTTATTGCTATTTTGATCATATCTTTGAACGACCCACTAATATGTTAATATTAATATGTTAACCCATTAATATGTATGTGCGCAAAGCGCAATTCTATATGCAAAGTTCGCTCTCCATTCCTTGAAGTTGGAGCTGCTTGAACCAAGAATGATCATGTTGTAACGTTACCACCCGTCTGTGTCCAGTGATTTCAGCTTCGTGCAGTCCGTCTATTTGTTTGGGATGACAATAACAGGCTCTATGGGGATAGCGTTAATAGAGTAATTAATATGTGCATATTGATATTGCCGAGGCATGCTTGCCTCACTCCACTGATCGGCGAACATCATACGAACTGCTCTAATACATACTAATTTTTATCCGCTTGCTGTTATCATGCATAAAATTACCATCTATCATGCTTGCCGCTTATGACTCATGTCAAAATTCCTTTTACTATTCTTTACTCACGCTTCACTCAGCGATCGTCATGTCAGCTCCCGAACATTCAACAAAGTAATGTTTACCAACTTCCCNGACTATAAGAAATCTTAGTGACATGCTATGAACCGTTCGATAACCAGTCGGGAGATCAAAGCGTTTCTTAACATCAGTTCATTGATCTGTCTGATAATTCAGCTTATCGCTGGCAATCGTTGGGTATGAAGTATTATGGTTAAAACGCTGAACCGTTATTATCTTTATGAATAAAGCGCACTTTTTTGTTCTAGCTGTGTAGAACTAATATCGGATTATCAAAATGCTCAGCGGCATGTTCAGAATGTTTCTCAGAAACATCATTTTCCAGGCGACTGTTGAAAAAGGAACAAACAGGATGCTGAGAAGATCATAAGAGGCTCAACGAGTGCATCATTTCAGCATTATCCACATGTTTTTTGCTCATTTTCGAAGCGTATAGGATGTGGCTAATACGAATCCACTAAAACATTTAGTAACCTTCAAAACGCTCGTGGTTTGCACTTACCGTATAGCAACGGCAGCACATCAGTGCGTTTGCATGAGATATCAACATCAAGTGGCATATTATCTTCATTACCGCAGACTCGTTAATGGGTTTGCTCATTAGATCCTAAAAAAACTTATTTTATCAAGCATTTCCTTTTAGTCCGCCTATTGGAATGGCAATCAATCGACTTATTGGTGGTGCCGGATTCAATTATTGGTTTCTGTTACCGGTGTGTCTAAGTAAAAGCAGTTTATCAATGGCGAGAAAATGACCTTTAATATCCTCTTTAATCGTCAGTCCACTTTTTTTGCGTAATCACTCATCTAGATGATGCCTTCCATCAATCTCGCGTGTTAAGTTATATAGTTAAGTTATATATTTGAACTTGTTGTTGTGATGTTTTCGAGCAGTAGATCTGAGCGTTCCGAATGCAAATGCTAGCTAACTGTCAATGTGAGTGCAGCCCGCTTCTGGCTGATACATACTTTCATCGCTCTTAATTATGTTGATATGCGTATCGCCGCAGTAACCAAAATAATCCTTGTGATAATGACTGTTCATTGATGATGAAATAATACGCAAAGTCGATTGTTATAATTGCTATGTTCACTTCCCCTTCGCTTCCACTCCTAATTCTCAATTATTTGTGTTCAACTTTCTCATTTGAATAGCGTAATTGCAGTGTTCGAGAAGTGACTGTTGATGCGAATGTTTCATATGTTTCTGCTATTGCAGTTCTTTTGAGTAAGCACTCAATTTCCTGCATAATGAACGGCTATTCGAAGCCAATGATCACCATATTTTTGTCTGTATTCCGGAGGAATGGATTATGTAAGGAATATAATTGATGATATTCAATTTCGTTGCACAAAACCTGCATTCGTCATTCGCCAACATCGCAATCAAGTCATAAATCTGCATATTTTTTGCACCAACTATTTGCATCAGCATTCGGCATCATTAACTCGCTCCTCTACCATCTTCAATCTCCCACATAATTTACCCCAATGGACAATTCTCTTGTTCATGTGCACACCACAAAAATCATCCATTAGCTAAGCACATTATTCCGTACTTACATTATTCGGTTGTCTTATCTGATTCACAAATACTCTTATCAATCTTCGTTCGCGTCTGGCTGCTTATTTTCATATTCGGTTCTGTTGTCCGTCTTTACGAGAGTCGAGAGCCGTCCAACAACCATACGACCATTCCGAGTATTTATTGGTGCTGTTCGCATTCGTTTGTGCTCACTAACAGTTGCCGTATTTTACTATCGTTCCAGCATATTGCGCTGGAATCTTAATGGCAGTTTTGCACCACCGATGTTTTCATGATACGATTTTGTATCGTTCGTGTTCGTTGCTTACTCGATGTTAAGTTACGGAGATTTAACTGCGAGACAGGTCACACATAGCAACGATCGGGCTTATCTAAAATCTAAAAGCTCACGGAGAAGCCGAGGCTTGGCTGAGGCACAAGTTGCGGCTGATGTAGATGATGAAGCAACTCTTGGTCAAAAGATGCATGATAATATGTACAATTCTGCTGAATATAATATGATGATTTAATATGTATTCATGATAACATGTAATATGATGAATATAATATCATTATTCGAAAAAACGATGAGAACCATATGTTTTGTGCTAATTCAATGTCCAATACGTCGAGTTGCTTGACAACAGCAATGTATTTTTTTCATATGAATATTAATGTTTTTCAGCAGTGCCAAAAATATGGATACGATCGAAAATGACACTTCTCAACCAACAAAACAATGCTATGAAACTGAGGTGGGTCGATCATTCATTCATTCATACAGTTTCACTTTCAATCTCACGTTTGCAATCTTTTATTAGGAGAACTTGTGAAATGAATTCATTTCATCAAATGAACTTCCAGCCATGCCCTTAGGCTTTATTTGGCTAAGCAATAATTCTCGCTATTTGTTCACCATCATTGGTAAACTCTAACGTCATTATATGATAAAACGCATGCGAGGGATTCAGTTAAGGAGGGCAATTGCTACAAATATCTGGTCACGATGGAACAGTGATTCACATCTTTGACAGCACTAACGCATCACTGGCAAGCAAACTGCAGGAATGCACCGCACAAAAAGCGTGACTCATGATCAGTTTAAGAAAGCAGGAAAACACCGCTTTTGAACAACAAGTAAATGCGTTCGCAAATGGAATCTTTGCCGGCGAAAAGTGTGCTGATTCCGTGAAAGTTAATCCTTTTTACAAGCAACAAATTTGATCTGTTCAAGAGTTGCTCGCGTTGTTTTTGCAATGCTCAATCCATGGATATTTTTGATGTTTTTTCAATATCTGAATGGGTCGTCAGTAGTTATTTTGATATGCTTGTTCTGTGGATTATTCCTTTGCTCTTTTGCAATAACTTCTCCCGATTGCCATTGCGAACTACGAAAATAACTCGTTCAAATGCGATCAACCGTAAAGAAATGTATCAAGGCGAAGAAGTGCTTGAGTCTCATGAATTCGTCGATTAAAATAGCAAGCATAGTGCACCGATTGCAGAAGTTATCTTTAGCGCATTCATCAGATCATTATTCCTCAACGGACGATTTAAACAACCAAAAGGAAGTTCCTTATAGTTGAATGCCCCGAGCAATCAACAATCAAAATGAAGTGATTGAAAGCACTCAGTTGAAGCGCACAAAGTCGGCTCATGAACTCGTTCATTTGCTGTGACTATCACCGAATGATGTTCACATTTCCTTCAAAAACAGCTATCACTTCAGTGTGAAGGGTCGGTCTCCAGAATGTAACTGCTCAATGCCTTCGAATATAACTTCCTCATTGGAATTCTCGTAGATTACTTTGATGAGTGTAAGTAATGTGATAAGTGAGTCTTACGATAAGTTGAATAGATTTATATTCTCATGTGATTAGCATCAAATATTGGATTCAGTAATGCATCAGACGATAGATCAAACTCAAAGGCGCATCTTTTCGGAAGGAAACACTAGTATCAGCGAAATATTGCAGGACGGAATCGGTGAGTTGGAAGTGATGGAATTCAAAGAAGATATAGTGGTGACTCTGCTCGTGATGTGCTGTCTTTCAACCATGCTTCAGCTGTGGGTATGCAGTAAAGCGATTGATCAAATTCGGAAACACACCAGTGAACGATGTATGCACATATTCCTCTTGAATATGACTACTGCTGACCTTTTGCTGACAGGTTACTTTCTCGTTTCCTTCTTTTCAAGTATTCAGAACGTCCATTTCGTATTATACCAAATACCAAGTTTGTTATCAATGAGTATTGATCACGAAATCCGTACGCATCATTTGGCCACAGATCAATCAATTTCTCAGCTCTCAATTCATGAAAGTTCATTGCGTTGAACTGGTGTGTAGCTGAGAAAATTTGAAAACTAATTGTCGGTTGGATAGATTAATCAGAGTGCAATAAGCTCTACGAGGCGTCTAGACGTTGTGCATTTATGAATCGCAAGGGAACTGCGAATAAATACTGAATTCGTTGAAAGTAACAAGTCGAGAAAGCAGCGAAAAATTCCATAACGTCTAGATCAACGTTTTTGATCATTGAAACATTAGCGTGCATGTTTCGCTGATGCCATCGGAACAGTGATGAGCAAAGTATTCAAGGAATTGGATACCCAATGGAATTTCTACAAGACATGTATGATTTGGGTTTTAACTATTATGTGAACTTGATGATGCATTTCATCCTGTGGCTTGGCACGGCCGTATCCGGACTCAGTCTCGTGTTGATGAACCTTGATAAACTCGTCTACTTCAAATTTCCACTCAGGTATGAAACAGATGCCTTCTCGCTTCACTAGAATGGCAACAATGAACAATTCACGAATTTCCGTAAATTTTTTGTCCTTATTCTACAAATTCACTTACAACAAGAAAAATTACAATAAGTGTTCACCCATTTGATTTTATCCCATTCAGCTTTCGCATAAACTGGTTGAGCATTTGATATAAAGCACGATCAATCCTCAGAGCCTACGAAATCATTTGAAAGGCGTTCATTTGGGTTTATTTGAATTGGTGAGAAATTTTGAGAAAATTGAAAAAAAAATCGATTCAACATCAGAATAATGAACAATGCAGCGTTCGAAACTTAGTAGGATTAAGTGAAATTACAGCTATTCGAAACGTTTAACTCGTGATCGAGCCGTGTGTTTCGCAGTTGGTACCTGGATATGCAGCGTGTTGTTCGTATCGACCGCATTCATCACGCATGCTGTAGAGTGCCGTTACAATTGCCAGACATTGACCATGCCGACCGGGAGTAGATACGCTCCTTTCATCTACTTACTGTTCACTTGCTGTGTCAGTGTGGTACCAGCGCTGTCGTCACTGTGCGTAGCACTCTATCTTTTGCGAGTGGTCAGCGAGCATCGCAAGCATATTGCTGAAGGTATCATTGCTCGATTATTGCTCCTAAACGGTCAATGAAGCACACGGTGATCCGCTCACGCTTATTNGAGCCGTAATCATCCCTGATTTGGTGATCAGTTTCTTGTAATGAATAAGTAGTAGCCCTTGATCGAATGAAGTGCACAGCGATTAGCATTACAGAACGGCGTCTTTGTCCAACAGCAGCCGGCATGCGAAGAGAGAACGCTGTATTGGCACGTATGCGAACGTTTTATTTCATCTTCGTATCCACTATATTCACCTCGTTGACACTTATTCCCTACCGTACTCTTACTATCTATCGAACAATTTTTCAAGCCGATACTGAAATTCGATTCTGTTTACCAGTTCTCATCAGCATCATCGCATACTACAGTATGGATCTGAATTCGGTAATAATTTATTCAATATTTATCTTATGTCGTTTTGTGTATCATATGTTTTCAATGCATATCGGGTCATTTGCGTCGGAATTTTTTTTACTTTCGATTTTCAGCACATGATAAAAATCTTCATTGAGACGTATATTTTTTGTTGGAAGATTTGCTTCGATAAGGACTTGATGCATGATGACAGTTCTTAATTAGTCACCGATGGAATTTGTTTGGATAAACTCAAGAGACGAAAACGAGACATCACTTTTCTGATGGTATTTTTGCAAGAACATGAGAACGCCTCGTTGTGAAATTCTTTTGTTAGAATAATAGATGAAAATTTAATTAACCGAATTTTTTAAAAATTAAACCTAAGTAAGTATAAAAGGCTGCAACTGTTCAGTATTTGACTCATACTACTACTAATTGTTGCAGATATATCTGCATGTTAGTGAACGCTCTTCACAAAAGTTCTGTATTCCAATTGCAAATTCTTAACCAAATTTCAGATTCTGAATCCATTGCTCACCGTCACAGTGCTACCACAGTACCGATTTTCTTTCTGCGAAACATTCATGCCAGCAAAACTACGAAGAGCTGCAAATACTGAGACAAGTTACAAATACAGCGCAGAGCTTTGATAAGATCATCACTCTCTACCCCGTCCAAACATCCAACATCCAGTCTGGCGAATCGCTTTGTGAGGGTCATAAGTCTGTGTTTTTCATTCGCAAGTGAACTGTGGAATTGTAACAAGCATCTGTTTTATTGCTTACGAACGATAACTGATATCTTGTAAATATGGTGCATTTTATTGAATAATTCATTTGTGTTTTGTAATTTGCTTCGATAAACCTGCCTTTCTGTTTGGTGTCACTTGGAAAATCATTTTAATGCAACCAATTGTATGCTTCGAGTAGGAATAAAAATCATGGTTGTGAACGGGACGCACTCTTGAGCGAGGGTCTCACCCTCATAAGCCGAAGATCAGGTGGCAGGGATCCCGAATAACGGAGTCCCATCCCGGATTTCGTGGAAGGGTACCCCATTTTGGAAAGATGACCGAAGTGAACGTATATACTGCGTAAACAACAATTGCTCTCTTCAAGAACAACTTTATACACATGCACTTCATGATACAACATACACAAGCTTTCACTTCAATGAATCAATTCAGCAATTTCTCCAAGATGACGGCTCGTGATTGCGGCCAAATCTCAGTCATTTTGTATGGTATTTTTTTACTGTTACTTGGACGTCGGGTGGTTGTTCTGTCAATCGCTGCGAGCGATCGGCTGAATATTTATATTACTATTTATTGGATTCTGATTATGAGTTCTGATTATTTATTGGATTGATATTTGGCTACGATTAATTATGCAAAATATTCATGGCAACTAGTTAATTACTCGGTTGTGATCGGTTGGCCTGCTCGCCTAACCAGCGAGGTGACGTAAAATGAGGCTAAAACAATGTGCACGGAAACGCGAGCATTGTGGCCAGCAACGTTACAAACGTTTGATAGCCTGGTCAATCCAGATAATTCAGGTAAATTTGCATCGTTTTCCAGCAGGGATAAATGCATTCTCATATTACCACATTACTTGAGGAATGAGACTGAAGCAGAAAACCCTCTGAAGATACGCATCGACCTGAGTAACGCCATTTGTATCGCATTTCTTTCAACATTTCATATTGAAAAATTGAAGTGCAAGAGAAACACACGAGAGTCATTACTAAAGTATGCGCTGATTGTTCAAATTGCTTCTGAGAACCGTGCGTGAATCATGACTTTGATTGACAGTGATTACTTCTATTCAGTGAAAGGATGACAATTGCTCGCAAATGGCACAATTTTCCTTCTTCGCTTCACACTTTCTTCACCTTTCTCTCGATGCGCTAAGTCTTTTTTGCCACTAAATGGCTTTCATTGCTGATGCATCTTGTCTTCATCAAAAATTCAATGCCACACTCATTTTGCATTATTTTCTTGCACATTTGAACTTATGCAGTGCAACTGCAATCGGTCAACTTTGCCGATGTGTGCGTGTGCACTTACAAACGGCTTGAATTGAATACTAAATGAATGATAAGTGCATGACTCTTTTTGAGAAAGTTGAGTTCTTCGACGCCTCCGAAGAAATTCAGTGCTCGAAAAGGACAATTCGCTTCTGTTACTGCATTGAATGAACGCGCATTTAGTGCAACTGCAGATTTTATGCAAGAGACACTGCTGCCGCAATTATGCAATTTGTTATGCAAGACATATTACCGACGTCTTCTTCGGGTTTTTTTTTGTCTTTTTTTGCGCTCGCATATCAATACAAAGTCGATGTAATTCGTTACACTTCGTGATGCTTCAGTGAATTAGACACGTACAGCTCGACTTGCTCTTCAACTCGAATTTGATTATGTGAGCTCACTTGAATTCACCTACCTAAACCATAGATTGAGTCTAATTCTGAGTCAGAATAGAGTGGATCATTAACATGGTAAGTGAGATGGGTGGAATGGGTAACGTTGATCGACTGCCATTTTCGCCTGCTGTAAGCGTCGTCGAAACAAGCTGTCAGGACCTGTCCAACGCATCTGCGATGAGCATCGCCTTATGCTCAGATATCCTTGCGGTCAACTGAAACCATGTATTTTCATTCAAAAAGAAAAACCCCCAGATGTTTCCGAATCAACGCTTGTTGTGCACTTTGTCAATCAGTCCAACGAAAGCAAAAATAATGTTTCCAAATGTAATTTGATATGTGCTGTCCTCATTGTCGTTGGTGATTTAGAGCGAGCATGCGAGGTTCCGTGGAAAAGAGTAATTTGAAGCGTTATTTCTTCATCAGTTAACATGGGTAATTTGAAGAGCGGAAAGATTGTTTGCATGGATTCTTTAAGCAAATTTNCGAAATCATTCTTGTTCCTCTCAGATGCATCAGTCTTCATCTAACTGAACCAAGTAGTATTCATTCGTGTGCTTTGAAGCACCCACACTGCTCTGACCTCCACCGTGAGGCTGAGATTATGTGTGAGCGTAAGCTTGAGACTTAATGTTCATCTAGGAACGGGGTCCCTATCGAGGTCTGCGACAGTTTTGACTCCCGGCTTTTTGGTGAGCGTCCCTCTCCGGACGAAGTCCTCCGTGCGGGAACCCTCTGGCCAAACAATTGTTCGCGACGAATACTACTGAGACTTCTCTAAACTCGTCAAGCTAAATTACACTTCAGTTCCTTCGGGACTCTCACGTATTTTCTACAGATTACCGAAAATATATAGGGCGCGTAAATATCTTCAAAATCAATGCGGCAAGAAGCGATCAATATGAAATGTTCTGTTTGCTTTCAGTTTTACTCGTGCTCATTCATACGAGCATCTGATGCTGTCACATATAACGAAGTCGCGTTCAAGCAGCTCGATGAAAACTGTCTATCCCTGAGGGTATCTCCAATTTGTTTCTTCATTTTTTGATGGTAGGAACATGTGCCACTCAGCTTTTATGATTCGGCCTTTCTTAGTTGATGACGAAGGACGCATAATGAAGCTTATTTGTTTAATTTATGATGCCAGACAAATGTGATGAAAAGCAACTTCGTTAAGGGATAGATTCAACGAATCATACAGCATCGGAATGCACTATCCATGTTTACTTCTCCATTGCACTTGACCGATTGCTATCTCAGAGTTTTTTGACAACTGAACGTGCGTGCTTATGGATGTATTTGTGCTCATCATAGTGTAGCCGCATAACTGCGCTTGGAGAGGTTTTGAATGGGTGAGCGTGCGTATATGAACGTTTCGGGAAGAACGAGTTCATTGAGGAAAGTGTTGAACAGAACTGAATTGCTGAATTAGATCAAAAGTTTGTGGCGATGAACTGGAGAACAAGGGACATGTCACGTGGGAATGTGACACTGAGCGGCGCTTGCATTTATACAATTAGTTTCATTAATTGGAAACACTCGGATGGTGTTCGATGAATCTTCTTACTGACTACTTGTCGTTGATTCCAATTACCTAGTTTAAGCCAGCTCATCTGGAAATCTCATTTTGCTCATCTTATCATTCATTTATTTATATCATCACCTCTCTTCTGATGAAGACAACCGAGCGAGCGTTCAGCTGCAAGTTGGCCACAAAACGTCACTCCTATACGTTGAAGTTCAACTTCAGTTGAGAATCAACTTGAATGCTGGTATCAGGCCTGCTTATATTCAATTTTCATACGGACTTTGGATGAGACTTTCCAAAAACTTAGCAACCAATCCGATTCCGCTTTCTTCTCTGCTCCAACTTGTATCGTACGCCACCCAAAACCGAGCCCGCTCTCGCCATGCTCTGCATTACCATTGCAATTGCCTTCATGTTCTTCTCTTCTTATCTTTGTTTCTTGCCCACTTTTCAACATTTTGCTGAGGTTAAGCAGTGTGTTGAGTTTCCATGCTTCTGAAAGTGATGCCATTGTGCAGGTGAGCCTAGCCACTATCCGATCGGTGGGCTCTGAGGCTGTGGCTGGACTCGCTATGAATTTTTGTTTACCGATAGTTTGTTTTGAAAAATGAGGTATTGCTAAAGATCACACTTCTTCAAATCAATACAATGCCAGAGTGAGACAGGTTGTAGATGTCCTGAAATGAGCCACAGTATCTTCTACCCATTAAAAGCTCAACTCCTGAGTGATGCTCATTATTAGTACAAACCCTGGGTGAGCTCAACCCCGAAATCCTTGCCTGCATCGCAGTTGAATCGCGAATTATTCTACCCGATTTTTTTCACTTTGAAGTATCGCACCATTCAGTTATCAATGAAAGCAAAGCAACTGGAATGTGCCCGCAGCAGTTTAGTCATCATTTCCGAAGCCCTGAAACGAACGTATTTCCGTCTCACTCGCAGTAGTGTTTCAAAGCGCATTTCCGATACATATCACAATGAACAAGAAGTTCATTTAGCGTGAAAATAGGAAATAATTAAAAGTCGCTAATGTTAATGTTAATCTAATGTTAATCGCTTCACTCATCGACTCGGTTATTCATCATCACATTCACAAGCAATAGATCTTTTGCTCACTATCAAACCGCCATCTGTAGTCTTGCGTGACAACGTAGTGTTCAGGCAGCCAGTAGCCCCACGAGTAT